CAATGAACCTACGAGCTATGGAGAAGCGATGGTGGGCCTGGATTCCGACGAATGGCTCGAGGCCACAAAAATCCGAGAGAGGATCCATGTATGAAAACAAAGTATGGACTTTGGAAGAACCACTTGATGGTCGTAAGGCTGTTGGGTACAGATGGATTTTAAAAGGAAGACGGACAATGATGGTAAGTATCACCATTAAGAAAGCTCGACTTGTCGTTAAGATATTTTCCGACAAGTTCAAGGAGTTGACTATGATGAGACTTTCTCACTCGTAGCGATGCTAAGAGTCTGTTGGAATTATATTAGCAATTACTGCACTATTTATGAAATCTTGCAGATAGGATGTCAAAACATTGTTTCATCAACGATTTTCTTGAGGAAAGGTTGTATGTGATACAACCAGAAGGTTTCGACAATCCTGAAAGATGCTAACAAGTATGCAAAGCTCCAGCAATCCTTCTAAGGAATGGAGTAAGCATCTCGGAGTTGGAATATACGCTTTGATGAGATGATCAAAGATTTTGGGTTTATACAAAGTTTATGAGAAACTTGTATTTCCAAAGAAATGAGTGGGAGCACTATAGAATTTCTGATGAGTATATGATGTTGACATATTGTTGATCAGAAATGATGTAGAGTTTCTGGAAAGCATATAGGGTTATTTGAAAAGTATTTTTCAATGGAAAACCTGGATTAAGCTACGTGAACATTGAGCATCAAGATCTATAAGGATAGATCAAAATCGCTTAATAGTACTTTCAAACAAACACATACCGTGACAAGATTTTGAAGGAGTTCAAAATAGATCGGCAAAGAAGGAGTTCTTGGCTGTGTTATAAGGTGTGAGTATTGAGTAAGACTCAAGACCTGACCACGGCAGAATAGAGAGAAAGGACGAAGGTCGTCCCCTATGCTTTAGACGTAGGCTCTACAGTATGCTATGCTGTGTACCGCACCTGAAGTGTGCCTTGCCATGAGTCAATCAAGGGGTACAAGTGTGATACATGAATGGATCACAGGACAACGGTCAAGGTTATCCTTAGTAACTAGTGGACTAAGGAATTTTCTCGATTATGGAGGTGGTAAAAGAGTTCGTCGTAAAGGTTATGCCGATGCAAACTTTGAGACTAATCTGGATGATTCTGAGTAGTAAACCGGATTCATATAGTAGAACAGTTATTTGGAATAGCTCCAAATAGAGCGTGGTAGCTGCATCTACAAGATAACATAGAGATTTGTAAAGCACACACGGATCTGAAAGGTTCAGACCCATTGACTAATAACCTCTCTCACAAGCGAGATATGATTAAACCCTATGGGTGTTGAATTCATTACAATCACATAGTGATGTGAACTAGATTATTGACTCTGGTGCAAGTGGGAGACTATTGGAAATATGCCCTAGAGGCAATAATAAAATGGTTGTTATTGTATTTCCTTGTTCATGATAATTGTCTATTGTTCATGCTATAATTGTATTAACTGGAAACCATAATACATGTGTGAATACATAGACCACAACATGTCCCTAGTGAGCCTCTAGTTGACTAGCTCGTTGATCAATAGATGGTTATGGTTTCCTGACCATGGACATTGGATGTCATTGATAACAGGATCACATCATTAGGAGAATGATGTGATGGACAAGACTCCTAAGCATAGCACAAGATCATGTAGTTCGTTTTGCTAGAGCTTTTCTAATGTCAAGTATCGTTTCCTTAGACCATGAGATTGTGCAACTCCCGGATACCGTAGGAATGCTTTGGGTGTACCAAACATCACAACGTAACTGTGCGGCTATAAAGGTGCTCTACAGGTATCTCCGAAAGTGTCTGTTGGGTTGGCACGAATGGAGACTGGGATTTGTCACTCCGTATGACGGAGAGGTATCTCTGGGCCCACTCGGTAATGCATCATCATAATGAGCTCAATGTGACTAAGTAGTTAGTCACGGGATCATGCATTACGGAACGAGTAAAGTGACTTGTCGGTAACGAGATTGAACGAGATATTGGGATACCGACGATCGAATCTCGGGCAAGTAACATACGGATTGACAAAGGGAATTGTATACGTGATTGATTGAATCCCCAACATCATGGTTCATCCGGTGAGATCATCATGGAACATGTGGGAGCCAACATGGGTATCCAGATCCCGTTGTTGGTTATTGACCGGAGAACTGTCTCGGTCATGTCTACATGGTTCCCGAACCCGTAGGGTCTACACACTTAAGGTTCGGTGATGCTAGAGTTGTTATGGAAAATAGTATGTGGTTACCGAAGGTTGTTCGGAGTCCCGTATGAGATCCCGGACATGACGAGGAACTCCGGAATGGTCCGGAGGTGAAGATTGATATATTGGACGAAGGGTATTAGAGTCTAGAATTGTTCTGGGAGTACCGGGTGATGACCAGCGTGACAGAAAGGTGTTTCGGAGGCCCCTACAAGCGTTGGGGGGCCTTATGGGCCAAGGGGAGGGGGCACACAAGCCCACTAAGGGGCTGTGCGCCCCTCCCAACCCCTCTCAAGTAACATGGAGAGGTGGGGGCGCCTCCCCTAGCGCAGCCGCCCCTCCCGGCTTGGGGTGGGGGCGCCCAAACCCATCTAGGGTTTTCCATATGGCCGCCACCCATCCCCTAGGGAACCCTAGGGCACCTCCTCCACCGCCTTTCCCCCTATATATAGTGAGGGAGAGAGAAGGCAGATGCACCCTTCCCCTGGCGCAACCCTCTCCCTCCTCCAACACCTCCTCCTCCTCCGTAGTGCTTGGCGAAGCCCTGCTGGAAAACCACGAGCTCCACCACCACCACGCCGTCGTGCTGTCGGAGTTCTCCCTCAACTTCTTCTCTCACCTTCCAGGATCAAGGAGGAGACGCCCCCGGGCTGTACATGTGTTGAACGCGGAGGCGCCGTCCATTCGGCGCTAGATCGGATCTTCCGCGTTTTGAACCGCCACGAGTACGACTTCATCATCCGCGTTCTTGTAACGCTTCCGCTTAGCGATCTTCAAAGGTATGAAGATGCTCATCCTCTCCCTCTCTTGTTGCTAGAATCTCCATAAATTGATCTTGGTGATGCGTAGAAAATTTTGAATTTCTGCTATGTTCCCCAACACTTAATACACTAGATGCATGCTGGATAGCGGTCGATGTGTGGAGTAATAATAGTAGATGCAGGCAGGAGTCGATCTATTAATCTTGGACGTGGTGCACATATATTGATCATTGCCTGAATATCATCATAATTATTTGAGGTTCTATCAATTGCCCACAGTAATTTGTTTACCCATCGTGTTTTATTTCTTGAGAGAAGCCACTAATAAAATCTACGGCCCCTGGGTCTATTCTTTATTTGCCTTTGAGATCTATTTTTATTTGCTTTTATTTTCAGATCTATTATTCTAAAAACCAAAAAAATACCTTGCTGCACTTTTTATTATTTATTTTATTTCACGTTTTATCGAGATCTATTTATCCAATCTATCACAAATATATCCTCTCGATTTGACAATTTCCTACGCTGTTACCTGTAAGAGGGATTGACAACCCCTCATAACCGTCGGGTTGCATGTATTTGTTCTTTGTGTGCATGTACTGTTTACATAGTGTTGCTTGGTTTTTCTACTGGATTGATAACCTTGGTTTCATAATTAAGGGAAATACCTACCGTAACTGTGTTGCATCATCCCTTTCCTCTTTAGGGAAATACCGACGTAGTTCAAGCGACATCAAGATGCAAGTTGAAGGAGGGTCCTAGGAGTCACCAACTGTTTCCTGATTTTGTTATTTTTCTTTGTCAGGTGCTTTGTGGTCCAGGAACGAGGAAAGGAGCGTGGGCGACGTGTCCAAGAGGCTTTTGTGATAGTTACGTGGTTTTGTTTTGGTTAACACACAGAACCGAGTCAGATTTTTAGCAACCCGATCCGTTTTTTTTTGTTGGAAATGCAAACGTACAATTTCTCGATGGTATTGGGACATACATGTGTCAAGACTTGATTTGCCGGGAAATTTGAATGAAATCAAACTAAAAATCAGTCAAGTGCTAAATAGACATTCCATTTTTTTTAAAGCATGCTGTGTTCATGCTGTGTTTTGCAGTGATGCTTTCCCTTCAAGATGGTCGTATGATGCATTGTACAGTCCAACCCAATAAGCCTACTAGCCCAGTGCGCCCGCCAGTGCACGCATCTCACCAGGTCCACACATATCCCCTACAAAAAATAAATAAAACGAAGCACTCCTGTACCACCACCGGCCCCTCTCTCTCTCTCCCGCACGCGCACCCGGAAGCCTCGCTTCCGCCGCCGCCGTCGCTGCCGCTCCGCGCCGCGACGCAGACTCGCCCCGTGCTACGCTACGCCCGGAGCTCCCGGCTCTCGTCGGCGCAGGTAACCCTAGACTCCCGGATTCCATCTGATTCCACCCTACCTAACCCTCCATGGCGTCCAGTTTCGGAACCCTAGAAACCCGTCGGCCAGTTGTTACGGCCGCCTCGTTGCGATGTTCCGAGCTAGACGAGCGATTGGTCGGCTTGATTTCACAGCTCCTTGGTCTCGGCAGTTTTCTACGGGTTCAGTCCAATTCCTCCCGATTGGGTGTTTTGGGGATCCTTCGAAATATTCGTGGAATCACCCCCCTCAGTTTTTGCGTTTGTTTTCCGCACGATGTTAGGTAGTATCTCGATGTTGAAAATTCGGGGACCTTTAGTTAAGGCTGTAATTGAATTGGTGGACTCTCCAGATCTTCAGATTTCAGATCTGGGCCTAGGCTATTGTTACTGTTTTGTCTAGATTTGAATTGGGGTAACTAGAGTGACCGTTCTCCGTAAATAGTTCAGGGAATTTGCTAGATATACTTACGTTGTGTAACATGCAGTTGGTGATCTAACAGTGTATATAGTCTTGTCGGCCTTTCGTGCAGTGTTGCTCATATACCTCGGGACGAGGAATCCTCATTATAACTGGTTTCTCTCTTTACTAAACCCAGGGATTTGTTCACCATGGCCCGCTTGTATGTTGGCAACTTGGATGCCCGGGTGACTGCTGGGGAACTTGAAGACGAGTTCCGTGTGTTTGGAGTTTTGCGAAGGTCAGTACAGTTTGCGTTTGCAGTATTTTCTTTATATGGAATTTTTTTGATGCGTGAATTCACTTATTGTGTACCGCAAGGATAATCATGCATGCCAGTGCTTATAGAGGGATGTTGGATCTTTGAATCAATTATGTTGTTGACAATTAAAGTTGTTATTTAGTTAATTTCATTCATGTTTGAATCGACTCTTTTTGCAATTGATATGTTCAAATATGTCCTACCATCCAGTGACATGCTTTCTACTTCTAGAGGTGCTTGTCTTAAGAACTCCTATCTCTGATGTACAAGTATGGACTTTTAAATTGAGTTTTTGGACCACCGAGACATGCTGCTTATTTAAGTGTGTTTGAACCTTGAACACATTTTTCTTTAAAATAGTGTGGTTCAGAACTTCATATCTTTTGAGGTGGAGACCTGTATCATTCAGCTGATGAGATGATCAGTTGTTCCTTTGTAACTACTCAAATGGCTTGGTGTAGATTAAGATTTTCTCAATCTCTTGACATGTTGGACTGACTCTTGTGTTCAATGTAGTGTCTGGGTTGCACGTAAGCCACCTGGTTTTGCGTTTATCGATTTTGATGACAAGCGGGATGCTGAGGATGCACTTCGTGATCTAGATGGTAATGTAACCATTTCTCTTGTGGAGGCTTGTTTGAATCTTGGGCAGGACATTACATCATTACTTTGTTTCCTGGATCTGATTTTAATGGCAAATGTCTGATTAGCAAAAGCATGTAGAACTTGCAGTCTTTTTTGCTCATCTTTTTGGTTAAGGAAGCAAGCTTTCAATGGTTAGAACTTAGAAAATAATCTCTTTTCTTTTAAACTTAGAAACTAATCTCTTTCCTTTCAGATTATATACACATCCTAGCCACTAGACAATCTTTCTGAGTTCTTAGATCATGAACTTCGCTTTTTCAGATGCACACTTTGTTATCTCATCCATGACCGTAGATTGTAATCTAAAGTATTGTTTCTCTTTTAATAGGCAAGAATGGATGGAGGGTTGAGCTGTCTCGCAATGACCGTGGTGACCGTGGAGGTCGTGGTGGTGGTGGTGGTGGCGGCGGCGGCGGTCGTGATCGTGGTGGGTCTGATATGAAATGCTATGAATGTGGTGAATCTGGGCATTTTGCTCGTGAATGTCGTCTGCGTATTGGTTCTGGTGGTCTGGGCAGTGGAAGGCGTCGCAGCAGGAGCTGCAGTCGCAGCCGCAGTCCTAGGTACCGTAGGAGTCCGAGCTATGGCAGAAGGTAACAAATTTTGTTAATGCATTCAGTATTTTAAGTCTTTTTTTTAGGTTAGCTCTGTTCATTTCGTTGTATACTGTTTATGTTAAAAATGGTTGCTTGTTCTTTAGAGTTCTTTTACCTACCATGACAAGCTCGGGTGCCTGATTTTTTTACTTTTTGCTATTGTTGCTTATGTGCGCCTTCTACTTTGTGCTCATTTATGCCTAGGATTATGATTGAAGGAATGAACTCTTAGAAACTAACTACTCTGCAAACAGAAGTTACAGCCCTCGTGATCGCTCTCCAAGACGCCGCAGTGCTTCTCCAGCCCCAGCCCGTGGTCGCAGCTATAGCAAGTCACCGGTCCGTGCCAGGGATGATTCTCCTGATGCTAAAGGGTAATGCAGATTCTGTGGAAATATCACCTGTCTGCTTTGTTGCATTTCTTCATAAAAAATACCGTGTCCTATTCTCATACTGGACTGCTCTCCCAGGTATCGCCGCAGCCGGAGTTAGACCTGAAGCCTGTGTCCGATGCATTGTTCTTTGAGAGAAGTTACTCTTTAGCTCTGCCTGCTAGGAGTACTGAGACCTGACGTCAACTTCTTGACTTCGGTTAAGGTTTCAACTTTATCTATAGTTATGTTTGCTTCTGATTCTGTCATTAAAAAACTTATGTGGTGGATGTGGTATGCAACTGAGACCTATTACCTTTCTTTCTGTGTGTTAAGAAGGCATCGTCCTGCACTTCTGCTTAAACGACTCAGCCAACTACGGCTCTTCAGTTGTTGTCTTCGTGGTTTTGTTGTTCGCTCTTCATTCTTCGCACGCCCTTACTGCTTCGCGCATCCTCCATTAGTCCCTGCCTGCGATGCCTCTGACGTTCTTCGTTGAAGAGCTGCCTTCAAAATTAGTAATCTCTTTATCTCAAATTGATAAGTTTGGATGTGCTGACAAGTGCAACTTGTTAAAGTAACCGGAGCATTGGTTTTGTATATAGAGCCAGGAGTCAACAAGGTATTGACCGTGCAGCACTTGAGTGAAACTAATTCTACATCTTGTTCATAGGGAGAAAAATGGGCCTTGAGCTGCGCTCTGTAGTAGAGCATCAAGGAATTTGATGAGGCTGGCTTCATCGAGAGTCATCCACTTAAACAGTTTTGTGGACTTCATCTTGGCTTCACCGAGAGTCAATCCATTTAAACAGTTTCGCGGACTTCATCAGCAGTCATATTCTTCGCTGTCTGAATAAGTCTGCCTGCTGCCTGCACTGCACTGCACTGCACAGGCTCGACTTCATCTTCATCTGCGCGCTTCATTTGTTATCCTCGACAACTACACTGCATAATCTCCGTCTTCTACTTGCTGCGTGCACTGCATAGTCGCCGTCTTCTGCCTGCTGCCTGCACTGCGTAGTCTCCGTATGGGAATGTCTTGCCATCTCCAAGATGGGATGCATTCTTGCTTTCAATATTAGGCAAGTCCTTAATTGTTATTGAAGTACTTGTGACCTAATATTGCATTTAGTATGAAACTACTGTGTACTGGCCATTCAGCACAGTTGTACTTGTACACCTTTTTACATTAGACATCGAAAGATAAATTTCATGTGCTGGAAATTGCTGTGAAACCACCTTCCGTTTTATCAAATGTTTTTGTTTGTCATCTCTGGCAACTGTCTAATTTGTTCCAGTGGCAGCCTCAATTAAGTTTGCTAGTGGCTGCACAGGCAGTCAGGTTGAATCTTTGTGTGCATACTCTTAGAATGCCTTATGTTTGTTTGGGCATATCCATGGGAATTTTTTCGTTTGGCACTAAGTTGGGTCATCTATTTTGGAACGGAGGGAGTAGCTCCTATCTTTGCCTGAAAAACGACTGGGTGTTAGTCGATTCGGGTGGCGCCATTGGATTTCATTCAACAATTGCCATGCCCCCTTCTTCCTAGAGCCAATGGTTTTCTTCCTGTTGCTTGATCCAACACTGGCCAAATTGCCTGCCGCCCGGTGCTCGCTGCTGCCTCTGTTGTGCTGTGGACGTCCTGACCTTCACTCTAAGCACTCCCACCATCAGTCTTCGGTGTCGACAGCCCACCTTTCTCCCCGAACCTATCGGCTGCTTGGGCCTTTCTTCAGCCAAAATCCACCAAGGCGTTTCAAAATAAAATAAAATAATAATCCACTGAGGCAAGCTGCATTTTCAGTCAACTTATGGGTAGCAAATGCAAATTTGGAATAATAATAAAATAGTTATTTTTGTTCTTGAAAATCGTATCCGTGTTCAGATCATGGTGATGGTGTCATGCTCATGCCACAGTAATAGTTTTCAATCGCCTTCACTCTCTGGCCTTTTCTTCAGTGGCACATGTTTCATTCTACTCACTCCGTTCCTAAATATTTATCTTTTAGAGATTTCAAATGGACTATCACATACAGATGTATATAGACATATTTTAGAGTGTAGATTCACTCATTTTGCTCCATATTTAGCACTTGTTAAAATCTCTAGAAAGACAAATATTTTGGAACTGAGGGAGTAGTTTGTCTTCGTAATAACTTTTTTGTTTGGGGTTAGCATTGGTCTCGTGAGATGCCGTTGCTAACGAACTGCCTGACGTCTATTCGTAATGTTTTTGTTCGTCGGCGTGTCGGCATAAGCGTGATTGATGATTAAGAAGCCGCGCGAGGGTAATTGAGAAAGCCTGACATCTTGTCTTCTCCGTCAGTTCTTCCTCGTTCTTGCAGGCTGCCGTCCAAGTCGTAATCCCAGGAAAAAGAAAAGAAAAAGAAATGCTTCTTCTGCGAAGTTTCCGCTCCTTTTCGACGTTTTTGTCTGCACTGTCGTCCTTTCGAAGCACCGGTGGGGAAACGACCGTTGACTCGAGCCCTGCCGCTGCAAAGCGAAATGACGGAGTGAGGTCGCGGGCAAGACGACCATTGCTGGCCGAGTGAGCCACTACCCAGTACTAGTGCATAGCGTTGCAATTGGGGCACAGTGACCTTTTTGTCCAACTCTGATGATACTTTTCATAATTATTAACATGATTCTTCCATTCAATTCTCGATGATATTTTTCATAATTAACATAATCCCTCATCCAAAGAATGATAATCTTTTTCCGTAAAAAAAGAAAGAAAAAGAATGATAATCTTCATAAATAATGTGATGATAATCTTCATAATTAACGTGATCCTCCCAAGAAAAAAAGTTAGGGTTTGTGCCTCTCGCCGGCGCCGGCGCAGGTCCGCCTCGTCTCCGGTGGCCCTAGGGCCATGGAGGTGCGGTGGATCCTGGCAAGGGCCGGCGGGAGGGCTCCGTTTTTAGTCGTTTTTTCAATCTTGTTAGGGTTTGTGTCCTACTCAGGAAGGTGAGACGGTGGCGGCTCCCTGAAGATGGAATAAAGGTCTCCCCGCCTAGCCCCCGCTCTGGCGGTGCGTTTAGCATCGTTGGTGGGTGTGTGGATGTATGTCTCCGTCAGATCTATCTTTGGTGGATTTGCTCAGATCTCGTCGTTGTTCGTCTACGTTTGCGTGTCTTTAGTTTGGATCCTTTCGATCTACGTTATTTTTCATTGGCGGCGGTTGCTGTTCTGGGGTGCTGGTCCTATGAGGCCTTAGCACGACGACTTCCCGACTGTCTACTACAACAAGTTGTGCCCGGCTCCGGCGATGGAGGGGCGATGACAGCGGCGCGCCTTCGGCTCGCTTCGGTGCTTGTAGTCGTCGCTAGGTGGTTTATGAATCTGGATGTAATTTTTATTTCTGGTATTTGTTGTACTGCCATGATTAAAGATGAATAGATTGGAAGTTTTTCTATAAAAAAATAAATAAAAATAAAATTAATATGCAGGTGTGGGCGACGTAGAAATTGGTGAGATAATTGAAATGATTTTTGACATTAATGGTTGCGTGCGAAACGAACAAAGCGACTACTAACTCTTTCTTTTAATACTACTCCCTCCGTCTAGGTGTGTATGTCACCTTACGAAAACCAAATGATTCCAAAACACTTAGCCACAGTACATTAATTCACTCCTCGTTTATTGTTTCGTGACATATCAACCAATAAAAGATGTGAGTCATACATGCTTTCAATGACTTGAAACTACTATATATGACATGTAGTGATTAGTTCATTGCATCCAATACTATTAATTAACAAAAATATATATTAAATTCTCTCGTTTTCTCCTCCGCCTTGGTCGTGGTGCATAACCTAAGATAACTTATACACCTAGATGGAAGGAGTAGTAGAGAGAAGTAGTGATTCTAACTAGAGTATCTTCAACATCTTCCCTTTCCCTAATAAAGGATAGCTATATATAAGTTGACACAAAAACGCACTTCAACAATTCTGCTATACCAATATTTTTTAGGATCTCATCCAAAACACACCCCATCTTCTCTAGTTTTTTACCTTCTCATATATCCCAAGTCATGGTGGTGCGAGCCAACCGCCTAAGAGCACCTCTAGCAGACCTCGCAAAATCCCGACCCGCATAAGTCTTTTGCAGTTCGCGGAAAAGGGTATATGCAGGCCGGTGTGAGCGAGGACAGACTCAGACCCCGTATAATCAACCCGTAAAAAAGAATATTCTTTGAATATACCGAACAGACCCAGAACTAGCTTTTTTTTTTTGTCGTCCTCTTTCTCGCGTCAATCCGGCGGACAGGCGGACGAGGCAAAACGTGAGGCGAGCGCGGCGCGGGCGGAGGCCAGGGCGGCCGGGGCGAGTGCTGCGCGCGCGGAGGCAAGGGCGACGCGAGCGGTGGCCGGATCGAACGGATGGCGCATCGAGCTAGCTAGCTAGCTCTTCGAATCCATTGAGCTGCTAGCTAGCTAGCTCCGTTCGAGAGCCGCGGAGGCATGGGCGAGCGCGGCGGCCGGGACAGAGGGCCGGCCGGCTATCGGCCGGGCGCGGCGGCCGGGCGAGCTTCATGGCATTGGCGGGAGTAAAGATTCCTCAACCGTCAACGTTGACCGGTATGCAGGGCCCTGGCAAAGTTGTCCTCAAAACTGTATATACGAGGATTTCACGTTCGCGTTTACAGGGCCCTTTAATTTTTTTTAAGGGTTGGACGATTTTAAGGGGTCTGTTCGGGCTCATTTTTTTGACTGAAACTGCAAAAAATGATTATTTTGCAAGTTTGACCATTTATATGGGGTCTACTAGAGTTACTCTAAAGCTTCATCGGTCGAAACGCCAGAGCAGCAGCCGTCGGACACCCCTATCGCTGTCGACGATCGTCGGGCTGCCCCATCTGCCGCCGCCATGGGGCCTGTCGCACCACCTCCCCTGCCCTCTAGCACACCATGTTACAAAATAACTATATTTTTCTGTCCGAAAATACTTGCCATCAAAATAGATAAAAAAAGATGTATCTAGAACTAATATATGTCTAGATATATCCCTTTTATTCATTTTGATGTCAAGTATTTCCGGACGAAGGGAGTATATGAGGGTTTTTTTCTTAAAAAAAAGTTCTATGTAGGAAGGCACTGTACACGCCCTTGCCGGCCGCTACCAAAGCAATTAAACGCAGACCTACGGGCAGGAAGTCTCTGTCCGGTCGTCCACTTTGTCGCCTCCCTCACTCGAACTCCTCGGCCTCGCCGGCTCTTCAGTCCCGCCCTCACCGCCTTGATCACATCCCACCGCGGACTCAGAGGAGACCAGCCACCCGCTGTCTCGCCGCCGGATTCTGCTGCTGATCGAGTTGGCGCACTTGCTTCGAGCGGCCGGCCTCTTCCTGGCCGGCGTAGCTTGGCTGACTGGCATCGTGCTGAGCCGCTGAAGCAGACGGAGGACGAGATGGCGCTCGGCAGGCAGCGGATCGTGAGGTGAGCCGCGGGAGCTAGCTCTCCGGTCTGTTTGCTTTTTGCTTCCGCGCGTGCTTCGGGCATGGAGCTCGACAGGATAACTCTGGTTCGTATTATTATTAGTCTATTGTAGTACTAAATCTTTGAGGCCCTGTTCGGATAGCCGTTTTCGTTTTAAATACCCTTCGTTTTTATTTACTTCACATATTAGCTTTGGTCAAAGTCAAATTTTGTAAACTTTAACAAAGTTTATAGATTAAAATATTAACATATACAATAAAAAATCAATACCATTAGATTCATTATTGAATACACTTTCACATCATATAGGTTTGTAATTGTGAATGTTCATATTTTTTCTATAAATTTGGCAAAATTTTATGAAGTTTGACTTCAGTCAAACCTAGTATGCAGAATAAATAAAAACAGAGAGAGTACATGTCTCGGCCCGTCGTTTTATTTCCAGATGTAAATTGCTCAGTGGCAATATGCGTGTAGCTGAAACGGCTCCGTATCGAATTACATCCATTCCAAGCGCGTCCTGAGTTGGTAAGCTACACTAGCATGGAGCTTCTCCCCCTATTTGGTTGATCTGGTCGGTAGAAATTAGCATCACCTACACTAAACGACGATGCAAAATGTTTTCATCTAAACTAAAAAACTGTCGATGGAGAACTAAATTTATTTAAAGTAGAATGTTGCTCTGTTTACATGATATACTCCCTCCGTTTCTGAATATAAGTCTTTTTAGAGATTTTACTGTAGACTACATATGGAGCAGAATGAGTGAATCTTCGCTCTAAAATATGTCTACATCTGTAGAATGAAGAATATTTCTTCTGAATTGTAAATAATTATAGTCCATGTTGTTAGTAAGGAACAAGAGTCCATTTTCTTGTGCACGGTTCAGATGTTGGGGCAATCTGGTGCTAATTAAGGTCCAATCCGACTAATTTTTTGTGCTGCTCCCATTATTTACAGGTTCGATGAGGAGATGGGGATGCCACCGCCACCAATTCAACAGAAACAGGCAGCATTACCTGCTATTAAACTTGGTGTCGCGAGCTCAGGGAACATACCAATTCAACAGAAACAGGCAGCATTCCCTGCTAGTATTAAACTTGGTGTCGCGAGCTCAGGGAAGAACAAGATTTTCGACCCATCAAGTGACTTCATCTTGACGTGGAACCGTGTTTTCCTTTTTTCGTGCTTCCTTGCTCTATTCATAGACCCCCTGTACTTCTACATCCCAAAAATTGTCTACGGCGCCGCATATTCCTGTGCTGGGACAGACAGACATTTAACCATCATCCTTACATTCTTCCGATCAATTACCGATCTTTTCTATGTGATTCACATCATAATTAAGTTCAGAACTGCATTTATTAAAACGAGCTCAACCTTGGGGATTTTTAAAGGAGGAGATCTTGTCACAGACCCTGAAGAGATTGCATGGAAATATTTGAGATCTGACTTTGCAATTGATGTAGTGGCTGCATTGCCTTTGCCACAGGTAACTTGCTAATCTCCTTTCTTGTTCCAAGTGGAATGTACTTAAGTAGTACTAATGAAGTAATGATCCCTGGTTTTAGGATTTTGGTCAAGTATTTGCAATATTTGATCTTATTTAACACGGATATGCTATATTAAGTGTGAGATTGTAAGATAGGGATGAACTCAAATAATTTTCTTCATTGCAATTGCAATACGAACATTTTGTGAAAATGTGTGAGTGCAGCACTCCACTGGACACGGTGAAGAAGTATGATAGGCATTCAACCATTCTCTCTCTAAACCAGCCCTTGGGATTGTCTGTAAAGGACATTCCAGAAAAAGATTACCTGAAATTAAATTTCTGCAGTTTCAGTAGAGTGGGTTATTGTAAAGATTTTTTTTCTTTCTTTTTTCAAAACTTTGAGGGGCCTCAACCTGATGGTGTGTTCCTGCACCCACGTTCATATTAAGTTATGTTACTGGTTCAACATGGGCAAATTCCTTTCCTGAAATGAAATTCGAGATTCTAATGCAGAAATTGTGAATTGTTTATGTTCTGTAAGGGCAAATATCTTGTCTACTTATGAATCTACTAATGTGCAGATCATAGTTTGGTATGTCATACCAGCTATCAAATATTCCATTGCTGAGCACAACAATAACATCCTGGTGCTTATAGTTCTTGCTCAGTATCTTCCAAGACTATATCTCATATTCCCTTTAACTTATGAAATTATCGAAGCTACTAAAGTTGTTACAAAGACTGCTTGGCAAGGGGCTGTATACAACCTGCTGCTTTACATGATAGCTAGTCATGTACGCTATCTGTATACTTTCATATGCAACCTTTCATCGTTTCATATGTTGAAGTTCACCAAATTCGTGTTAAATGTACTGCTCAAGTTTTTATTTTTTAGTTCATTTATTTATTATGTCGCAAGTTTCTTAGTATCCCTGTTCCACTTCATTCAGGTGTTAGGTGCACTATGGTACTTGCTATCTGTTGATCGCCAAACAGCTTGCTGGAAAATAAGTTGCAGGAATGAAACTAGGTGCGATATTAGGTACCTACATTGTGATATGACACCAAATCAGAAATGGGCTAGTACAACTGATGTCTTCCATAGCTGCAATGCTAGTGATACCAGCATCACCTTCGACTATGGCATGTTCCTGCCTGCACTGTCCAATCTAGTGCCTGCTCAGAGTTTCTTGATAAAGTTGATCTATTCCTTTTGGTGGGGTTTACAGAATCTAAGGTATTTCTGTACTGGACATCTTGATATCAAACTAGAGTACTAAGTGAGAACTTACGTTGCAATTTCCTTTTACAAACCAGTAGCACTTTGATACCATTATATACTTATGTAAGTTGAAAGCTTTGATGAAAACCTAGGATCTTACTCTTTCAGTTTCGGCTGAATAACATTGGGAAATTAACTTAGAAGTTCCTGTAGTGTTATCATAATCTTTTTATCAGTTGTGAGGATTGATAAGTGGCTCTCTGACATGGTATATCTCCCTTCCATTTTCTTGACAGTTGCTATGGCCAGACTCTTTCTGTTAGCACCTACGTTGGTGAGACACTGTTCTGTATATTCTTGGCAGTATTCGGTCTTGTTTTGGAATCATCTGGTATGGTCTTGTTTGCATATGTGATTGGAAATGTGCAGGTACATTTTACATCTTGCGCTCTCTATATTGTAGAAGTTCATTATTCATGTGCATGAAGTTTACCATTTTAATCATCTCTAGTATTATTGTTAGAAATAAATCTAGTAGGATTGACGTGATTGGATCTCAAGCCCCTAGTCATTAGATCACCTAGTTGCATAGATCAGAGAGATAGTTTAGGATCTTACTACCAATGGAAGCAACCATTGGTGAAGGCGATGCGAAGTCCCGTGCTTGCTCGATGCAAGTATGATGCAGGCTCAGTGTAGATGCTCGCAGCGGGTAGCGGCATCCCTCTAGGCGCCAGCGGCACTGCCCTAGCACCGGAGCAGAGGTAGGAGAAGGCCTTCCCGTTGCACAGCTCTCCCTCAGATCGGATTAGGGTTTTGGGATTTAGGAGGGCGGAGTAGACGCACGTGAACAGGTCAGGTTGTGAGTGACTGGCTGACACCCCTCTTTATATGTGGCGCTGGCGATCAGGGGACCTAAACCACGTTGGTTTGGGTCGCCCCCGATCAGGGCGCGTTAGTTGGGTCGAGGGGGTACGAACGTTGGTTCGTGACCTCCTCCCCTTAACGTAACTTATATTCTGGTTTATCTCTTTGGCCCATTGGGCCTTAGATCAATTCCAACATTCTCCCCCTTGATTATTAGGCTCAATAACTTTTGCCCATTCTCCATAGGAATGATATACCAGAGTAAGGTGTTACAACAGCCGATGAAAGGCCATTGAAACTCAATAATCATAGCACACATCCTATTTCGAAATGGGAAACATTTTGACTTAACATGAGTAGTTTATATTAGCGGTCCCATAATTCCAGGATCAAAAGGCTTCCATTAAACCCATGCTGGCTACGTGCTCACCAAAAATATTGGGTGGTAAGCCTTTAGTAAGAGGATCCGCAAGCATACGTGTCGTACTGATATGATATGCTTAACAATAATAGTTTGATCCTGGATTCTATGTTGAACAACACGGTACTTTAGGTCAATGTGCTTGGCAGCAACACTTGACATGTTGTTATTCGCATAGAAAACCGCGGGTTCATTATCGCACTACAATGTTAGTGGTTTGGAAATATTGTCAACCACTTTAAGTATGGGAAGGAAATTCTTTAGCCATACAACCTGCCCAGTGGCCTCAAAACATGCTAGATATCCCACCTGCATCGTAGATGAGGTAACTATCGTTTGCTTGGAGCTTTTCCACGATATGACTCCTCCTGTGAGTGTGAATATATAATCTGATGTGGATTTCATACTATCCACACACCAAGCAAGATCAGAGTCTGAGTAACCAATAACTTCCAGGTTATCGGACTTTCTATATGTAAGCATGAAATTTTTAGTACCTTGCATATAACGCAAGACTTTCTTTGCCACCTTCCGGTGGTCCGGTCCTGGATTAGATTGAAATCTGCTAAGCATCCCGGTTACAAAAGCTAAGTCAGGGCTGTTGGGAAACGTAGCATGCAATTTCAAAAAAATTCCTACGCTCACGCAAGATCTATCTAGGAGATGCATAGCAACGAGAAGGGGAGAGTGTGTCCATGTACCCTTGTAGACCGAAAGCGGAAGCGTTTGACTACGTGGTTGATGTAGTCGAACTTCTTCTCGTTCCAACCGATCAAGCACCGAACGTACGGCACCTCCGAGTTCTGCACACGTTCAACTCGATGATGTCCCTCAAACTCTTGATCCAGCAAACTGTCGAGGGAGAGTTTCGTCAGCACGACAGCGTGGTGACGGTGATGGTGAAGTGATCCGCGCAGGGCTTCGCCTAAGCACTATGACAATGTGACCGGAGGCGTAAACTGTGGAGGGGGGCGCCGCACACGGCTAGGAATCAATGTTGTGTGTTCTAGCGGTGCCCCCCATGTATATATAGGTTGGAGTGGTGGATAGGCAACCAAGGGGGCGCCCAAGTAGGAGGAATCCTACTTGGGCCCCTAGTCCAAGTCGGCCTCCCCCCTTTCCTTTTACCGAAGGGGGAAAGGGAAGAAAGGGGGGAGGAAGGAAGGGGGGGGGGGCGAATCCCCACCTCCTTCTCCTATTCGGCCTCCTTCCTTAGGGGGGGGGGTGCACCACCCCTTGTGGGTTGGTGTGCTTCCCTCCTATGGCCCATAAGGCCCATTATTCCCCCGGGGGGTTCCGGTAACCCCCGGTATGCCCCGAAACACTTCCAGTGTCCGAATATCATCGTCCTATATATGAATCTTTACCTCTCGACCATTTCGAAACTCCTCATCATGTCCGTGATCTCATCAGGGACTCCGAACAACATTCGGTCACCAAATCACATAACTCATATAATACAAAATCATCATCGAATGTTAAGCGTGCGGACCCTATGGGTTCGAGAACTATGTAGACATGACCGAGACACCTCTCCGGTTAATAACCAACAGTGGAACCTGGATGCTCATATTGGTTCCCACATATTCTACGAAGATCTTTACCGGTCGTACCGTAATGACAACATACGTTATTCCCTTTGTCATCGGTATGTTACTTGCCGGAGATTCGATCGTCGGTATCTTCATACCTAGTTCAATCTCGTTATCGGCAAGTCTCTTTACTCTTTCCGTAATGCATAATCCCACAACTAACTCATTAGTCACATTGCTTGCAAGGCTTATCATGATGTGCATTACCGAGAGGGCCCAGAGATACCTCTACGATACTCGGAGTGACAAATCCTAATCTCAATCTATGCAACCCAACAAACACCTTCGGAGATACCTGTAGAGCATCTTTATAATCACCCAGTTACGTTGTGACGTTTGATAGCACACAAGGTATTTCTCCGGTATCCGGGAGTTGCATAATCTCCTAGTCGAAGGAATATGTATTTGACATGAAGAAAGCAATAGCAATAGAACCGAATGATCAACATGCTAAGCTAACGGATGGGTCTTGTCCATCACATCATTCTCCTAATGATGTGACCCCGTTCATCAAATGACAACACATGTCTATGACTAGGAAACTTAACCATCTTTGATTAACGAGCTATTCTAGTAGAGGCTTACTAGGGACACTGTGTTTTGTCTATGTATCCACACATGTATCAAGTTTTCGGTTAATACAATTCTAGCATGAATAATAAACATTTATCATGATATAAGAAAAATATAAACAACAACTTTATCATTGCCTCTAGGGCATATTTCCTTCAGTCTCCCACTTGCACGAGAGTTAATAATCTAGATTACATTGTAATGATTCTAACACCCATGGAGTCTTGGTGCCGATCATGATTTGCTCGTGGAAGAGGCTTAGTTAATGGGTCTGCCACATTCAGATCCGTATGTATTTTGCAAATCTCTATGTCTCCCTCCTTGACTTGATCACGGATGGAGTTAAAGCGTCTCTTGATGTGTTTGGTTCTCTTGTGAAATCTGAATTCCTTCGCCAAGGCAATTGCTTTAGTATTGTCACAAAAGATTTTCATTGGACCCGATGCACTAGGTATTACACCTAGATCGGATATGAACTCCTTCATCCAGACTCCTTCATTCACTGCTTCCGAAGCAGTTATGTACTCTGCTTCACACGTAGATCCCGCCATGATGCTTTGCTTGGAACTGCACCAACTGACAGCTACCATTCAATATAAATATGTATCCGGTTTGTGACTTAGAGTCATCCGGATCAGTGTCAAAGCTAGCATCGACGTAACCATTTACGACGAGCTCTTTGTCACCTCCATAAACAAGAAACATATCCTTAGTAATTTTTAGGTACTTCAGGATGTTCTTGACCGATGTCCAGTGATCCACTCCTGGATTACTTTGGTACCTCCATGCTAGACTTATAGCAAGGCACATATCAGGTTTGGTACACAGCATAGCATACATGATAGAACCTATGGCTGAGGCATAGGGAATGACTTTCATTTTCTCTCTATCTTCTGCAGTGGTCGGGCATTGAATCTGACTCAACTTCACACCTTGTAATCCAGGCAAGAACCCTTTCTTTGACCGATCCATTTTTAACTTCTTCAAAACTTTATCAAGGTATGTGCTTTGTGAAAGTCTAATTAAGCGTCTCGATCTATCTCTATAGATCTTGGTGCCTAATATATAAGTAGCTTCACTGAGGTCTTTCATTGAAAGACTCTTATTCAAGTATCTTTTTATGCTATCCAGAAATTCTATGTCATTTCCAATCAACAATATGTCATCCACATATAATATTAGAAATGCTACAGAGCTCCCACTCACCTTCTTGTAAATACACGCTTCTCCGAAAGTCTGTATAAAACCATATGCTTTGATCACACTATCAAAGCATATATTCCAACTCCGAGATGCTTGCACCAGTCCATAAATGGATCGCTAGAGCTTGCACACTTTGTTAGCACCTTTAGGATCAATAAAACCTTCTGGTTGCATCATATACAACTCTTCTTTAAGAAATCCATTAAGGAATGCAGTTTTGACGTCCATTTGCTAGATTTCATAATCATAAAATGCGGCAATTGCTAACATGATTCGGAGAGACTTAAGCATCGCTACGGGTGAGAAAGTCTCATCGTAGTTAACTCCTTGAACTTGTCAAAAACCTTTCGCGACAAGTCAAGCTTTGTAGACAGTAACATTACCATCAGCGTCAGTCTTCTTCTTAAAGATCCATTTATTCTCTATGGCTTGCCGATCATTGGGCAAGTCAACCAAAGTCCATACTTTGTTCTCATAAATGGATCCCATCTCAAATTTCATGGCCTCAAGCCATTTATGGGAATCTGGTCTCATCATCGCTTCCTCATAGTTCGTAGGTTCGTCATGGTGTAGTAACATGACTTCCAAAACAGGATTACCGTACCACTCAGGTGTGGAATGTGCTATGGTTGACCTACGAGGTTCAGTAGTAACTTGATCTAAAGTTTCATGATCATTATTATTAGCTTCCTCTCTAGTTGGTGTAGGCATCACTGGAACTGATTTCTGTGATGAACTACTTTCCAATTCGAGAGAAGGTACAATTACCTCAT